GCCTTTGTTTGGTCCTCATTATTTTTAAAATACATTTTTCTCTTATTTTCAACGACACATATTCATTAAAATAATATTACACGCAAATTCAAAACATATTCTTATTTTTTAACCATTTATTCTTCATCAAAGTACTATTCCAAAATGATTTTGGACAAAAATAAGATTCAAACAAGCTCTTAATATGCCACTGTCAAATAAAGGCCATCAAACAGGGGCTAAATCGACTTTTATCTAGCACAAAAGTAAAAATACATAGTAAGATAGAGTGTTTTTTCCAGTTTGCATACATGATCAGGTTTTGACTTATCTATGAATCCCTTTGGTTGATTCATATATACTACCTCTTCAAGTTCACCATTTAAGAAGGCATTATTGATGTCAACTTGCCTAATTGTCCATCCCCTTGACACTTCCAGAGTAAGTATAATTCTCAAGGTTGATGCCTTAATAACAGGGCTAAAAGTTTCATAGAAATCAATTCCAGGCGTTTGATGAAATCCCTTGGCTACCAGCCTTGCTTTGAGCCTCTGAATTGATCCATTTGTGTTATGTTTTACTTTAAAAACCCACTTGCTCCTATATTGTAGATTGGTGATGGAGGCAAAATTTTTAGGTTTTGGTTTTTATCAGTGCATTAAATTCTTCTTCCATGGCTTTCTTCCAGACCTTATTCATCATAGCTTCATTTACACTTCTAGGTTCTAGTGTTTCAGGATTGTTTTCAACCAATTCTCCCAAATATGCCTTAGGTTTAAATACTTCAGCCTTTCCCCTAGTGATCATAGGATGCTCTATTGGATTACTTGCTCTCTGTTGATGTCTGTGCCCAAATTCATTGCTGACTGGTTGCTGACAACTTATGTAGTCTGATTCTAGCCTTTCATTGTTCTGAGGTAGCTTAACTTCTGTTTCCATACCTTGATCATTTACTTCTCTGATAGGCCTTTCATTATTGTTATCCTCCTCATCATTATTCACACTTACATGCTGATTGTCACTTAAGCTAGGAGGTGAGTGATGCATAGCATTGGTTGCTTCAAGAAGAGCTGTATCATCAAGACTTGAAGTAGGATTAGAGTTGTTCAATTGAGAGGGAAATTGGAAGTAAGACACTACAATTTCAGGCACCACATAATTTTGTTGATTTTGAACAGAAAACAAGGACTTAAAAGGAAACTTCAGCTCATTGAATACAACATGTCTTGAGATATAAATTCTCCCCATTGAGTTCAGGCATATAGCTTTTATGAGATTCATTGTACCCAAGGAAAACACATTTTGTTGAATGAAAACTGAACTTGTGTTTTTGATAAGGTCTTAGGTAAGTATAACAAACACACCCAAAAATCTTTAGTGATTTATAATCATCCTCTTTTCTGATAGGACTTGGAAAGGGGATTGCATTTTGAGTGTAGGTGTATGTATCCTATTTATAAGGTAAGCAGCAGCTTGAAATGACTCCCACCAGTATTTTAAGGGCAATTTGGCTTGAGTTAAGAGGGTCAGGCCTGTTTCTATTATGTGCCCATGTTTTCTCTCTATTCTTCCATTTTGGGCTGATGTGTAAGGACAAGGGTGTCTGAATTCGACCCCTTCTTGTGTTAGGAAGTTTTTGAAGGTTCTATATTCCCCTCCCCAATCAGCTTGCAGAGTTTTTATTTTTCTTGCAAACTTGTTTTCCACCAGTTTCTTGAATTGAATGAACATATTTAGTGCTTCAGATTTTTGCCTTAAGAGGATATATCCAAGTAAATTTGCTGAAATCATCCAAGAAGGTTATGTAATATTTGGAGCCAGATGTTGATTGAATGGGTGCTTGTCCCCACACGTTTGTGTGCACAAGTTGTAGGTGAGTTTTGGCATGTGAAGTGGATGAGGAAAAAGGTAATAGATGAGAGAATGATTTAATTTCATTTTCTTTCACCCTTTGATTACAAATTTTGAGTACTTAAGACACCACTTGGCTAGATGGATGTCCAAGTCTCTTGTATCATACATCAACTTGGAAATTTAAAGACTCTTGACTAAACTTTTGCTTGGGACTAGACTTTTGACTAGGACTGATAGAGGAGATGCTGCATCGGAGTTTATTTGGAAGAGCTGACTTCTAAGAGTGATACTTAGATTTTTGGTGGGGAAAGTCCAGTTGATACGACCCTTCCTTAAGCTTCCCTTACAGCATTATTTCTCTCGTTAACTTGTCATTAACAAAACAACAGTTAGAACGAAATTCCATATAAACTTGCTTATCATATGTTAATTGTGAAACACTAATGAGGTTTTTCTTGATCTCAGATACATGAAGCTGTCCACAATTCATTGGAGTTGCTAGCACCCATGACTCTCATAGCTATGTCGGGGGTCATTGAAGAGTAGAGCCATCCCATCAACAATTGATCTGTTGACATCCATTGATTATGTTCAAGATTTTTGGTCATTTCAACACTTGTTCATGCTTCACCAGTGACTTGGGTTCCAATGAATTCTGGAAGGCACATCTTTGTCCCCATAATGCAACCTTCAAGTTTGTGTCCAAGAATAATGACAGAATCATAATTTGCCATAGTAGAAAATTGTTCTTATCAAGTTTAATTGATACCTTTTGGGTTAGATTAACACCAAAGGGCGAGAGATGTTTGCTTCCATGCATTGGAACAATGATACTACTTGAGATCGATACGGGAGCAGAGTTAAGATCAGTGTTTTGTGGTGTGTTGCCGGCGTTGGCCATGGTTTCTGCTCTGATACCAAGTTAAGATTTGTGATTTCATCTTAAAAGGTCAACCTTATTAAGAGGAGCAGTCCAAACCCTTATAAATTGGTATATGTTTTCATCTTTATTTGATGTGAAATTTTTATCCCTTAACACTAATGATGGACAACAATTGTTGAGCTCTGGTGGGGATGGGCATATTTACCACTGGGGGCCTGAGAACAAGGACATGCTTCCACAAAGGCGTCGAGGACGGTTGCATAATTGGTAAAGCTCTATGCACTTCCCCTTCAATTGGTTCAGACATGGGGGTTGTGACCGTATACGACATGGAAGACTTCTTAGGTAGGAAGAGGAAACCCCTCAAGACCTTTCATAACCTGAACACTGAATTGAATTTCATGAGATTCAACCATGATTCTCAAATGTTGGCCATCTGTTCAAACGTTGAAGAAGAGCAGCTTAAAATTGGTTCATGTTCCATCATTTTCTATGTTCTCTAACTGGCCGCCATTAAATCAAGCTCTGCATCATACAAACTTTCTAGACTTCAGACCTAATGGAGGTTTTATGGCACTGGGAAACATAGCTGGACCTAAGGAAGGCCCAAGAGGTTGTTGCCTCAGGCCCAGATTTTTTTTTTCCTTCTTTATTTTAAAAACTATTGTCGTTTATACTTGTTAACCCTTGTTCGGTTGCTCCAAACAATGAGACTTTTTCAACAATGATATCGTAAATCACAGAATTAATGTCTGGATTAAAAATACTCATTTTATTGTGTAACACTCCCTAGGGTTTGTTTGTGAATGATTTTAATCCAATTAAAATTGAAAATATAGCCGTTATTGGGTTTCACCCGTCTAATAAAAGTCAACAATAACTGCTAGTTTTTCAATTTCAATCCGATTTTAATCTTTCCCAAACAAACTCTAATATTTATGCATCGTTACACACATCTCTGTTGATATGATCGTTTATTAACCCTTGTTTTTTTAGTTGCATTGACCGATATATTTTATATATTTAATTGATTACTGTATAATTTTGTTTCTAAATTCAATTACATTTTCCTGTTGATCGGATCATTGATTTATGCGTGGGATTGAATTTCTTTTCTAGATCAATAACTCGATTCACGCCCCCGCGAAAGACATGTACGGCTCTACTGGGAAATGCTGCTGGGAAAGTGTTACTATACAAGCTCTATCACTAAAATAATGCAGTTTCCTATAACCTATAAATTGTTTTTGGTTTAACAGTTTAGTGGGATACCTTTTCCACCAATCTGCAGATAATATCTGAGGTAATTGTCTTTTTTCCTTCTAAAGTTCTTTTAGATTTAGACTATTAGTCCAAATCAGATTATTTCGAACGTAAAAATTCTAATAAAATTTTTATTACATTGCATTGTAGGAATTTCTGATACGTAAAAGTTCCTCAAAATTTTATTAGGTATTTATCGAACGTAAAAATAGTACAACATCTTGGAAATAAATACGTTTCGAAATAAAAATCTTTATTAGTCCAAATTATAATTTGCATTTCAATATTAAGCCCCCATTTGGTACACATTTTGAAGGTAATAATGCATTTTTATTGTTGATGTGATGAAAAATATTATTTTATTGAAAAATGCGTGGTTGAAAATGAGTAGAAGAATGGGAATGAAAAAAAATAATGTGGACCAAACATGGCCTAAATATTTTTTGAAATAAATATTTTTAAATTAGGCAGGCTTAAAGGAAATGAAAAAAAAGAAAAGAAAAAAGAGAACCATACGTGCGGTTCTCTTACCTTTAATAAATAATTCTTATTTCTTCTTAGTTACAGATATCGTTGAAAAATTTCGAATGTAAAATTCTAATAAATTTTTTATTGCTTTACATGTCGAAATATTTCGGATGTAAAAATTCTAACAAAATTCTTATTACTTTACATTGTAGGAATTTCTAAAAATTCTCAAATGTAAAAGTTGCTCAAAATTTTATTAGGAATTTATCGGACGTAAATATAGTACAACAAATAACTTTTAAATAAATATGTTTTGGAATAAATATCTTTATTAGTCCAAATTATAATTT